GTGTGACTTGACCTCTCTGGGCCTCATCTGTAAAATGGGGATAATACCAACATCTACCTGACATGGTACTTGTGAGAATCAAATGAGAAGACATATGTAAAACTCTTTGTAAATCTTGAAGCTCTGCTACATTCTTAGAAGGACCATGAATGCCGGTAGCACCTACTCTGAGTGCTTGTCCTACTGACAATGGGCCATGTGCGTACTGGTGGGTTCATTTTCCATGGGACCAGCTTGGCCTCTGCCCTCATCCAAACTGTATGGGCTCCCACATATCCCTCTGTATATCTATGCAGAAGATAATAATGAACCAGCTGGCATTCACATGGCCCATTGCGGTTACAAAATAAGTGTTTTCAATCCATCTGATCCTCACAGAATCCCAGTGAAGTTGGCAGGACAAGACTCATCATCTCCATTTTAAAGATGACGAAGCTGCAGTATAGAAGGATCCAATGACTGGCCTGGGGTCATACATCCAATCGATAACTGAGCCAGTAGAGAGCCTGGACCTCTGACTCCTAAGTCCCGTCCTCTCTTCCTTCTGTGCCATAATACTGTCTTGGCCAGATCTCTCTGGCCTTTTGCCCTAAAATAGGAAGCTCTTTGAGGTCAAAGATAGCACAAAGAAAGGGCTTTGTGTCCCCACAACCCAGAACCAATGAGGGTGACAGAAAGGAAAATCCATAGCTGGACCCAAGGCATAGGGGACATAACTTTAGACATGCTCTTTACCCCCACCCCATTAGTGGCAATGGGTGATACTGGAGATACTGGGTGCTGGTGAGCATGAAGTAGGACTGAGCATTATGTGCAAAACAGAGGAAATTGCATTTGATCTTGAGCAAGCAAATGACAGATCCAGGCTTTCGTTCAGCAAATATTTACTGAACACCTACTGTGTTTAAGGCCTTGTGCTTGGCACTGTGGGGAAAGTGAGAGAGAGAAAGAGAAAGATAGTGTCCTTCAACTTTGTGGGAGCCCTAACAAGACTTAACCAGGTGAACTGTGGTTAAATACTTAATGTTAAGTAGAGAACCTAAGTGTAGTAGGAGTTCAGGACAGAGAGGTCAGATGATTGGGCAATGATTTGACCAGGAGAGAAGAAAGGGCATTCCAGAGAGGGCCCACAGTCTGAGCCAAAGGCACAGAGGCAAGAATGAACCTTCCATGATCTTAAGACAGAGAAGACAGAGACCTGACTAGAGCAGAGGGCACATCTTGAGGAATCATAGGATTATGGTTACATGGTTCTCATCAGTTCATCTGGGTTCATCAGTGAGAGCTGTAGGTGACACCTCTCAGGGTTTATTAAATAGATCAACTGTTGAAAACAGAATATATTCTTACACTTCAATGTCAATACATATATATCTATACTTGAGCACTCCACAGATCTTTGATTCCTTTGGTGTGGCCAAACATAGATGGTGTTCCATGAGGAAGCAGTTTTTGAGACTTGCTAGGATGGAAAGATTCATCCTCCTATGGCCAACCTGGTGATGAATCTCTCTGAACTTAGCTCTCAGAAACAATAAAAGAATTTCAGAGTTGGAAAGGACCTCTGTGGCCAGCTAATATAAGTCAGACCCGAAATGAGAAATCTCTCTGCAGTGCACATATACCAGGTGATCATCTGACTTTTGCTCGAAGGTCCCAAGTAAGGAGGAATCCAGTTTGATTAGCCCCATCTTCTCCCACGGCTATTGTTTCTCTGGAGAGAATGGTACTATTGCCTGTTGTCTAGCCAGAGGATTGTAAACATTTCTGAAAAGGCAGGGGAGGAGTGTGGAGCTGTGACAGGTGAATGTGCTTGGGGAGTAGGGAGATCTTTTTTGACATGGGCACCTTCATTTTTCAAGAATCAAATCCTGCAGTCCATCAGCTGCAAACGGAGGCAATTTATAAAGAATAGAGGAGTGGGGTGTGGAAGGTGGCTCAGGAGTGTTTCACATTCACTCGGAGGCATGATCTTAGAGGAGTTCTGGGTTCCAGAGCAGATATCCCCACATCAAACCCACATCGTAGAGAACACAGAGCAGGTTGGGGGGTGGGGTTGGAATGTACATGACTCTGCTCATCACCAGGTCATTTCTCCACTATTATTGTGAGACTAAGTGAATCCAAAGAAGTAGTCACCTGCAGTAACCTAAGGAAAACAACTGTTATAACTCTTAACACAGGTGGGAAATAGGGCCAGGATTAAACCTTGCATTTTAGTTAAGGGTGAGAGCATCTGTTCTTCTTGAAAAATTAATAGATTTTTCAAACCATTGTAGGCAGAAACTAAACATTCACCCAATTGGTCAGGGTTTGAATACACCCAGCTGCAAGGGGAAGAGATAACCAAGGCTTTCACTTCATCTTCATTTTCCATCTAGAAGTGCTACTCTTTCTGCCTTTCTGATAATGAAAGTAGTTCTTTTCTAGGAAGCATGTTTATAGAGAGGCAGCTTCCCTCACTGCATTGTTTTAAGTACTGTTTGTACCTGGGAAGCATTCCTCTGACCGATAACTTAGATTGTAGGAGAAGCCATTGCAAAGAGTGTGGAAAAAGAGATAAAGTAGAATCCCCTAGACCAAAAAGCAGTGGTAAGTCTATCCCTGAGCAATGAGAAGCTCTCATGAATGGCATCCTAACAACTCAAGTATAAACAGTTCAGATGAGGAAGAAAAGGGGGAGATGACCATAGAGATGGATATGGATGCACAGGGAATTCACTAGAAAATTCATTGGACAAAAGGCAGGCATAGAAGACACACTCAAACATAAAATGAACAGAAAAACATAATATAGCCCTGGAAGGATAATGTCAGGAGTCCTAAAGCTCAGAACTAGCCAAGGTTGGCAACAAATGCCAAGGAAACACAAAATACTTTTTAAAGAGCTAATATAGCTGAAAAAAGGTGAAAAAAGGAAGAACAAAGAATGGATAGGACTGTGGAAAGGAGGGGATGCTCTTCAGGATATGAACCCCTTATCCCATTTAGGAGACGAACATTTTTTGCACATGTGCAAAACAGCATATGGTCTGAGTTGATCCTTTAACCAAAAAGTTGTTATCTGAAAAAATGCAATTCAAGTGTGTCCATACTTAAGTTCTTATTTTAAATGAGTGAAATTTAGTATTAAACATTTTTAGAATTAAAAAAAAAACAAAGGATAGGACTTCTGTTTAGAGTGGGTGGTATGAAAACAGATGATGGATGGAGAGAACTCATACTTACTTAAGCTCTTACTTGATTTTGTTTTTTCTCCTAAGGATAATGATCTTCAGACTCAGAAGGATAGAGCAAAATGGTTAACAGGCAGTTGAAAACCCAAATCAGTGAAAAGGTAAGAGTATACCTCGCTGTTTTCAATGAGTTAAAGTCACTAAGCTCCAATGAACTCTATCACAGAAAACTAAATAAACTGTATATCATTGCTGAATGATGTTAGTGATCTTTGAAAAGCATTGAAGAATGGGAAGGTGCCAAGGACTAGAGAAATGGAAATGTTTCCCAATATTCCAAAGTAGAAGAGGGCAGGGGTCTTTAAAACATCTACCAGTGAATTTGACATCAGTTCCTAGCAAAATTCTAGGATATTTTGTGAGCAAGGAGAAGTCATGATCGCTAAGAGCCTAGGTGGTATTGTAAACAGTGCTGGAAGACCTAAGTTCAAATCCTCCTAATCACTAGCCATGTGACCCTGGGCAAGTCATAGTTTCCTCATTTATAGAATGAGGCTTACAATAGCACCTAACACACAGGGTTGTGAGGATCAAATGAAATAGCATCTCTAACGTGCTTTGTGAGCCTTAAAATGCTACGTAAATGCTAGTTATTGTTACTCTTCTTATCATCGTAATCATTATCATCAAGAATAGGTTATATCAAGCTAACCTCATTTCCAGGTTTTACAGAGTTGCTTACTTCGTAGAGCAGGAGAATCCCCTATGTATAGTGTACAGTGTTTTGGCAAAGCATTTGCCAATGTCTCCTGTTAGTCTTGAGGAGAAGATGGGGAGGTATGGGCCAGATGATAGTATAGTTAAATGCATTTGAAACTTGTTGAAAGCAGTTTTAAAGAGTAGTCCTTAATAGATCATTGTCAGCTTACAATGAGAATTCTAGTGGCCTGTTCCAGGGACCTATCCTTGACCCAGTGCTGTTTATCATTCTAATCAATGACGTTAATGAAGTCATTGGAAGTATAATTTCCATCATCAGATTTTTAGATAACACAAAGCTGGAGGTGGGTGTAACTGAAGTAGATATCTAATGCTTAATGACAAAGAGATTCAAAACAAAATCCAAAATAAAAGGCTAATCTAATAAGGGAAATTTAATAAGGGTAAATATTAAAGCCTATACCTGGGTTCAGAAAATCAACTGCATAAATATAGGATGCATATAGGATGCAATAATTGGTATAAAAAAAAACCCTGGGTTTTAGTGAACTGTAAATTCAGTATGAATCAACAGTGTAATATCACAGCCAAAAAAAAAAGTTAATGTTAGGTTGCATTAAAAGGGGCATAATGTTTATAATCAAAACACGTCTGGAATTTCCAGCCTTCACATATCAGGACAAGCAAGAGTATGTCAGGAGCAGATTGACCAGAATGATGCTGGGTCTAAAGATGATTTTATAATGGCACTTGTTAGGAGTTTAGAGACTATTGTCATAATGAGGTTGGTTAAAAGAACTGAGGATGGTTAACCTGAACCAAAAAAACATAATAGTTGTCTCCAAATACTTAAGAAAACAGGCCAGGTAGAAGAAAGGAAGGAAGGAAAGAAGACTTTCTTTAGCACTTGCTATGTGTAAAACACTGTGCTAAGTGCTGGGGATGCAAATAGAAAAGCAAGACAGTCCTTGTTTTCAGGGAGCTCCTGTTCTCAAGAGGGAGGCAACAGAGAGCAGGTTTCAGCTGCAAGTCAGATGGAAAGGTCCCATGGTCCTTAGGGTGCGATAGCAAAGCAGATGGTGATGCATCTTCTTAAATGTCATTTCCTTGATAAATCATCTCCATTTTGACGTTGAACCACTTGACAATGCCAAGGACTTCAGTGGTAAGGACTTCCTTATCCTTATAATCAATGAGTGGCTGAGGAATTAAACTTATTCTGCTTTCCCCTGGTTAAGAATAACAAATATTTGTTCACTTAAAATGATGGGTAGGAGTTGCACAGAGGCTGGTGATAGATAGCTTTAAGATTAATGTAAGGAAATACATCTAAGTATTTGAGCTATCAAAAAGTAAAATGGGCTGCTTTGGGAATTAATGTGTTCCCCCTTGGAATTTCTTGCAGCCAAAGCTGAAAGACCACCTGTTGGGGATCCAATAGAGGAGATTCTTGGTCAGGTATATTCTGAGGTCCATCAAATTCTAAAGTTCTCTCATTCTGGGATTGTGGGAATCCAGAGGTGAGTCATAGGCCTATTTCTTATAGATAGATGATAGGAAGGAAGGAAGGAAGGAAGGAAGGAAGGAAGGAAGGAAG